CACATCCTTCATCGGGGCAGTGGGCAGACATTTTCTACACACACCATGTTTAGCCCACTATAGTCAATGCACAGATGAAGAATTCCATTTTTCTTTTCCGAGAACAACACTGCGGCTGCCACTCACGGTCTAACCAGCTGAATAAATGCACATTTTAGATTTTTACCTACAAAAGCATGGAGCTCTTCTAGTTCACACGGAGTAATTGAGTAAAGTTTAGGCTTTGGGAGTTTAGTCCCAGGAAATATTTCAATGCTACAGTCAATGGGGTGATGGGGTAGGAGTGCATTGGAGCCCTTCTCACTAAACCCATCCCATAGTTCCCAGTACTCTTTGGGGATTCTGGGCTCACTTTTTGGTTGCTCCTGCACCCCAATTTCCTCTGTCCTTTGGTTTTCCTGTCTCTGGTCATTGGAATTTCTTCCCCTTTCTTGGCCACCCTGTGCCAAATCTTTCAAAGCCCCCTCCTACAATTTACATGTGTTCCATTTCTGGAGCCAAGAAAGGCTAAGCAGAAAGGGCCTCTCCATCCCTGGTGCCACTATAAAACTCAAAGTCTCTTGGTGCTTTCTCATCTCATCTCTCATCTTTTATAATCTCAATTATAAAAAGTTGGCAAAAAACTATTGGCACCTTCAGTCTCAGTCCCAGCTTTTGCACCACCTCATGGCTAACTACGTGCCTGGTGCAGCCTAAGTACAGGTGGGAAGGCCTGGGAAAAAACTGGAAAAATTGGGGATTTTTTTCTGGTTTTTTTCCTTGTTTTTTTTTTTCAAACAGCTTTGTAACAAATGGGGAAAAAACCTGTTTTTCCCCCAATTTTTTCACCCCCCCCCCATCTCTAACCCTGAGTCCAGTAAAGCCAACATCCTCCTCTTGGAGGGCACCACTAGTTCCATAGGAATGGTCATGGGGATTATGTGTTGACTTACCAGGGGTCGTCATCATAGTTGCTTTCATTCTCACCAAAGCTCCCAATCCCTCAGTATCAGAAAGGGCAAACTCAACAACTTCCACACCTTTCCGCACTGTCTCCCAGCTCCTCAGAGCTGGCTTCTCTGGATCTTCCTTTCACCCCATGCTCAACAACCATCTGGGCCTGATAGGTTCCTCATTGAGGTCCAGCTCCCCGAACCATTTTGCCTCTTCTTGAGCATGGCACAGTCTAGTGGGGTGGGACAGGACCCAGCACTAGCCCTGGTCTCCTCCAGCTCATTCTTGTAGTTGGACATTTAGATGCTCAGTCCCCACAGTAGATTGCAGCCTCCCTCTTGACCATTAAAGCAGATCTTGCCTAATGTCAGGACTGCCTTTGCTTAATCCATAGGAAAGAAAAATCCTTGACTCCTTAGATTTAGAGAAAAGGTACTTTTACTAGAAATGAACTGAACACGGCAATGGTCAGGCAAGATCTGAAACAAAATTTGTGCAAAGGAAAAAATTGAAGCAACTCCAACCCCCCTCCCCACAATTCCCTCATTAGCCAGATAATCAGAGTTCAATCATCAGCCAAGAAGATGCTTTGGGAAAGTTTCTGACCCAGGTGCAATCCCTACTTTGTGCATTCCAAAGCCAGGACAGTTGGCCTTGAAAATGTTAAACAACCCAAGCTGACCTCTTTGAGACCAGGCCTCCTTATCACTTCTAAGAAATTCTACTTCCCCCTCCTGCATGCTTCCCATCCTATATGCCCAGTGCTTCTCCTACCACCACAGTTTCAATGGCAGCTAGCAGCAAGCTTGAAAGAAAATGAAGGTACAGGCTGATATTTTCTAACTACTGGCCAGGTGTTTTGCAGTTGTGAAATCCATTCTTTAAGACAGGCAATTTGTGGGGCAGTCTTGGCCTGAGGCTACTTTAAAAGGAGTTATTCCTGTATTATCATGTATCAAGATATTGTAAGCAACCTAAGTTAAAGTTAGGAGGTCTGTCCAGTTATCCTTTTGATAGTTAATATAATATCTGAGGTACTGTTCCAAGACTCCATTTATACATTCACAGGCCCTGTTCATTTGAGGATGATAGGAGGAGCTAAGTTTTAAGAATTCTTACCAAAACCATGAAGTGAATTGGACTCTGCAGTCCAATACTATTCCTCTGGGGCACCATACAACCTATTTACATGCTGCATGAACATTTTCACTAAGGTATGATCAAAAGGAAATTTTTGGCAAGGCATAAAATGCACTTGTTTAGAAAATAAACCAGTTATCACCCAAATCACAGTATTTGCCAAGCTTTTGGGAAGTTCTACTATAATGCCCATTGAAATTTCCTTCCATGGCACTTTAAGTTCCACTGATGACTGGAGGAGCCGGGCACTTTCCCCTGATGCCTTTTGGCAGAGGTGCAGGTAGGACAGCTGGCCACATAACCCTCTACGTCCTTTAATGACTGCCACCAGAGGTGGTGTTTAAACAAATGAAAGGTTTTGACAAAGCTAAGGTGCCCTCCTACTTTTGAGTTGTGGTTTTTCTGTAAGACCATTAGGCATTGATTTTCAGGGACATACAATTTGGCCTGTACCTAGGCTAAGCCATCTTGCATCTTGCATTCATTCTTAAGGGCTTGACATGTTTGTCTTTTTCGAGTGCCGCTTTTAGTGTACCCTTTAAATCCTCCACCATTTGGTTTTGGTTTTGCTTGTGCTCTAATGTTGACCAGAGCTGCCAGTTGCCAGGGCAGGATAACTGGTCTGATGACCTCCAGCTTGGAACAGTAATATTGTGGCAATCTGGAATAGAGCATCTGCTAGGAAATGCTTCCTCCGGGAGATATTGCAAAGTGAAGTTAAATTGGTTAAAGTACTGAACTCATGGACTTGTTTGGGTGATATCCTTGGGGGGCAGGGGCTGGGCTTCTAAGTTTTTGTGATCAGTCCACACCTCAAACAGGGCTTTGCTTCCTTTCAAGAAATGCCTGCAAGTTAGGAATGCCCAGTAATCTTTTTGGAGGTATAGGCACATGGCTGCAGGACACCTTGGTTTGAGCTTTCCTTCACCCTTTATCTTCAAGTTGGTGATGGGGAGGACTATCTGGGAAAAAGATAGGATGAATTGGCGGTAAGTTTGCAAATTCCAGGAAGCTTTGAAGTTGCTTCTGGGTGCGGGAGGAGCCCACTCCAAAACCGCCTGCACTTTTTCAGGATCCATTTCTATCTCTTCGAGAGAAATACAATACCCCAAATAGTCAATTTTACTTTGGTGAAATTCACACTTGGACAATTTAGCATACAGTTGAGCATTCCGGAGTTTTTTGCGCACAGCTCTGGCCAGTTTCACATGTTCCACCATGGTCTTGAATAAATCAAAATGCAAAAGATGCAAAATCTACTGCATCGGTTCATGCATTACAGCCAAAGGGGAAGAGTTAGAATTGGAATCATCCCAAGGGACAATTGAAAGCTGTCTTCCACTCATCTCCCTCCTTGATCCTAACCCAGTAACATGCTTCCCACAAGTCCAATTTGGTCCTCCCCTTTGCCAAATAGGCTAGCGTATCCTTCATTAGGGGCACTGGGGAGACATTTTCCATCCAAACAGTGTTTAGCCCGTGATAATCTATGGATAGACAAAATAAACCATCCTTCTTCTCCCTAAACAGCTCCAAGGCAGCCACTCACAGTCTGGTGAGTTATATGGAACCGCGCTCTAGGTTTTTCTCTATGAATGTCCACAGTTCCTCTAATCCTCTGGGAGTCATGGAATGCAGTTTGGACTTGGGCAATTTAGCCCCCCGAAATATTTCTGTGGAGCAATCAGTTGAGCAATGGGGTGAGGGTATGTCTTAGCCGTTTTCACTAAAAACACCTGGTAGGTTCCAAAATTCTTTAGGAATCTGAGGACCGCCCTTGAACCACTCCTTCTCTAGAGCTTCCACCTCTCTTCTTGGCTTCGCCCTCAGTGTTTTAGGGGTAGGGACCTCAAGTTTTCCATCATTTCCCCCTTTGTGGATGGCTCACTGAATCTTTAATAACTTCCTTCTCCAGTTTATATAAGAATCCAACCAGTACGAAGGGTCTCTCCATGTTGGCACCACAATAAAGGTCTAGGTTTCTATATGAGTCCCTATTCCCATCTCTATTGGTTCGGTGACAAATGTTGCAGGGGCCTCACCTGCTACCAAGCCATCCAGCTGGCAAAAAGCCACCTGCACTTTATATTGTTTGAGTCTTAGACCTAATTTCTGAACTAGGGCAGTGAATCCAGGAGGGCTACCAAGCTGCCCTTACACCTTGAGGATGGCACCACCAGTTCTATGGGAGTGGTTCCTGGGATGACTTAAGTCTCATCTCAGCTGTGCCAGCAGAGGTGGCATGCTGACACAGGGAAGACCCTAACCCCATTGGCTCCAGTATTCCGGCCAGGGGGTTCCATCCTTCTCTTCCGTTGCACCTGCCCTGTGGAACATTTTGCCCCCTCCCCCAAGTGAGGTTGGCTACAATCCTCTCCACTTTCTGTAACTTAAACTGGCTGTGCCAATTGGCATGGGGCTCCAATGGGAGAGCATCACAATGGAGGTGGTTGATCAATTAACAACTGATCCTTCCTTCCCCCTGTTCTACTCCCATGCAGTCCTATTTGTGTGTATGTGTGTGTGTACTATTTAGGCTTTTATCTTTGTACAATTTTTATTTTTAAAATTGTAAACCTCCCAGAGTTATCCAAAGGTAAGGTGGGCAGCCAATAAATGTTATAAATAAACAAACAAAAACAAAGTTGTAAGTTTTATTCATATGAGATCTTCAACTCCAAAATGTACAATATATTACAGTTTATGAGATGCGACTATGCAACTGTGATAATTTTAAAATTGTATGTTTGCTGTGGGAAAAGCAAGGCTGATTTAAAATCACAACATATTCTGAGATGAGATCCAAAGCATACCATGCTACATATAGTTGGACTGTTTACTTTCATAATTGATCCATCTTAAGAGGTTTTCATACAGAGCCACTTGTAAGTAATACTTCTGATGTATTGCAATGTCTGTCATTTAAGGATGTACATCATGGAAACGGTACACAACAAGCTTTCTACAGTGATCCCAATGTCCTTTATATTTCACTACATCGCTATGATGATGGAAACTTCTTCCCAGGCAGTGGAGCCCCTGATGAGGTAATAATACAATACATATGTCCTTTCAGATTTCTTTGTAATACAGTCCTACAACTTGGAAATTCAAGTGATAAAATGCTGGGTCTTACAATGCAAGTGAGAGAATCTGATTTCTTCCATTTTCAGAAGTAAATGTTTTAGCTTTTAATTCTCTAAAATTCTTAGCCGCATCCCTCAAATCCAGGATAGCTAAAGTTAGGGGTGACAACATAAGTTCTTCATGGTTTGGATTTTATCCATCTCTATATAAAATTTAGATATAGAAATGTGAATATAGCAATAGCATTTAGATTTATATACCACTTCATATTGCTTTACAGTACTCTCTGAGCAGGTTACAGAGTCAGCATATTGCTCCCAACAGTCTGGGTCCTCATTTTACTGAGCTCAGAAGGATGGAAGGCTGAATCAAGCTTGTCAGGATCGAACTTCAGACTGTGAGCAGAGTTAGCCTGCAATACTGCATTCTAACCACTGTGCCATGAGGGCTCTTGGTGATATATAAACTAGTCCTCAACTTACGACCACAACTGAGGCCAGAATTTATCTTGCTAAGTGAGAAATTTGTTAAGTCAGTTTTGCCCCACTTTTCTTGTTAAGTGAATCGCTGCTGTTTTTAAATTAGTAACATGATTAAGTGAATCTGGCTTCCCCATTGACTTTTGCTGGTCAGAAGGTCACAAAAGGGGATCACAAGACCTTAGGACACTGCAACTGTCATCAATATGGACCAGTTGTCAAGCATCTGAATGTAAATACACGACCATGGGGATGCTGCAAGGGTCATAAGTGTGAAAAATGGTCATGTCACTTTTTTAGTGCTATTGTAACTTTGAACAGTCATTAAAAGAACTATTGTAAGTCAAAGACTACCTGTACATATATGAGAAAGAGAGAGAGGTCTGCAAGGTACAGGCTATACAGAGATGCCTGAGAGATAGTCCAACACATAGTGGCAGGATGTAAGGTACAGACAGGAATAGCATGTATTGAACAACACAACCACACACCTGGCATAATGTACAGGAACATCTGCACAGAGTATGGGTTAGACTGTTCCCGGTCAGGATGACAAATTCTACAGAACCTTGTGGAGAATAATAGGACTAAGATCCTGCCAGGTTTCCAGATCCAAATGTACAGGCAGATACTACCCAATCAACCAGACATTGTGGTAGTAGACAAGGACCAAAAAACAGCAGCGGTGATAGTTGTAGTGATGCTAAGTGATAGCAACATCAGGAAGGAGTATGAAAGACTATAGAAGTTTCAGGGCCTGAAGGGAGAACTAGAAATCATGTGACAAATAGAGGCCAAAGTAATGATAAGAGCACTCAGGGCTATAACAGGAGTTAAGCTGGGAGAGTGAACAGATCCCAGGAAGAAAATCAGAACTCTCTTTCCAGAAGAGTTGTCAGCCACTGTCTCTTAGTCGCCGGCAATGGCAAAGCACTTGCAAAATCTTGCGAGAAAACTGCAAGGATTAATCCAGGCAATTGCCAGGAGAAGCATTAATAATGAATGAATACATCTAATTAATTATATTATTAATCCCTGCTTGGGATGTTATTATTTATCAGAAAGAAAATCCTCAACTTACCACCGTTCATTTAATGATAGTCCAAGTTATGATGGCCTTGGAAAAAGTGACTTACAATCTGTATTGCACTTGCAACCGTTGCAGTCACATAATTACAATTTGGATGTTTGGTAACCAGCTCGCATTTGCAGCTGATTGTCACATCCTGCCATCATGTGATTGTGACCTTTTTTGTTAATTTCCAACAATAAAAAATGCCCACTGGGAAAGGTGGATTTACTTAACTACTTAAAAATTGTTGTAAAATCAGAAATGACACAACTTACAACAGAAATGCCAATTGTAATTGAAAGTTGAGGATTACCTAAATTATCATGTTTAAATCTCTGCTTCTCGTGTTGTTGTTTATCACACTATCAGAGGATTCTCACAGATCAAATAATAGTCTTATGTTTAGAAAAAAACGTTCTCACAGTAATACTTGTAATTGATAGAAACAATCAATGCGAGGAATTGATTGCCCAGTCTGTGGGAAGCTGATTTTGTAATTTAAAAATAGAAAGGATGTGTATTTCTTTGACCTATTCCAACTTTCTTCAAATCGGTCGAATTCAAATGCTTTAGTCAGAAACTTTCTAGTCAGCATGGGAATTTTCCATAACTAAATGGTAAAGGCTGTCCTGTACTGCTCCTACTCATTTACTGGGCATATGTAGGAAAGATATTGTCTCTCTTTCAACGAAATTGTAACGTGGTCATTCATTGAAATAATTGTGGAGAAAATTGGGAGTTATTTTTTTTAACTGCACCTAATTTACATCTTAATTGCACAACAGTTAATGAAAAGTTCAGCCATATAATTTATTGTCTTTATGGGCCCATATTTGGATTTTTGTAAACAAATTCTAGTTTGAGTGGATATCTATTTTCCCTGTAATTAAAAGCCTAGAATCTTAAATGCTAGAGATCAGAGGTTATTGTCCTGCTTTGTAAATTTCCCAGATGTTCCCGATTGGCAATTGTGTGATACACAATGTTGGATTAAGAGGGTCTTTTGGCTTGACAATCCTGTACCTGTTGTCAATTATATAATATAAACTGTTATTTAATATTACACTGCTCTCATACTAAGATAACTAAATGTATTGCAATATATAGAATAATTTTTTAAAATAAACAGAAATATTTTCAAATTGTGTTCATAAGTTGAACACTATCTGGAGTGAACAATTCGTTTCCTTGACTTTCTAATTGTTCCTTATATACTGAAAGCAAATTTTTTGATTATTTTTCAAAATAATCAAATTACAGATTTGACCTATTTGCTGGTATTCTATTCTGGTTATGTACCCCCCCCCTTCCATTTTTTTATACTTGTCCTTTTTATCCCTTAGTTTGTCAGAGACCTCTTTGTGCAACCATGCTCATTTTGTCTGGTATCTCATTTTTCTTTCTCTGTGATATTTTTCTTTTTTGTCCTTTACTGTCTTGTTTTTCCATCTTGAACTGTTTTTCCCTAGGATTTCCATTCATGGCATCTTTCCTAATCTATCTCTTAGTTTGATGAAGTCAGCTCTTTTAATCTAAGTCTAATTTTCTTTAGCTACCTGTGCGATCTGTTCACTACAGGTAGTGTTCAACCTATGACCACAATTGAACCCAAAATTTCTCTTGCAAAGCAAGACATTTGTTAAGTGAATTTTGCTCCATTTTATGACCTTTTTTGTCACAATTGTTAAGTGAATCACTGTAGTTGTTCGGCTAGAAACATGGTTGTTAAATGAATCTGCTTTCCCATTCTTACTTGTCAGAAGGTACAAAAGGTGATCATATGACCTCAGGACATTGCAATTATCATAAATATGAACTAGTTGCCAAGCATTTGAATTTTGATCACGTGAGCATGGAGATGCTGCAATAGCCTTGTATAAAACAATTATAAGTCACTTTTTTCAGTGCCATTATAACTTCAAACAGTCATTAAATGAATGGTTGTAAGTCAAGGACTACCTACAGTGGGGGAAGATGGCAAGAATATGATGGGCAGCAAGGAGAAAGTAGAGCTATATAATTCCTTCTTTGCATCTGTCATCACAAAAAGAAAAAAATAGCCCAGCCTGTCAAAAGCAGCTTCGTGGGAGATAGCACAGGAATGTATGTCAAAAGGGGCAAGGATTTGGTAGGAGAATACCTATCTGCTTTGAAAGAGTTCAAATCTCCTGGATCAGATGGTTTATATCCCAGAGTACTGAAGGAGCTGGAAGAGGTGATCTCAGAGCTACAAATGAAATCTTTCATAGCTCCTGGAGCATGGGGGAACTGTCAGAGGACCAGAAAAGAACTGATGTAGTTTCAATCTTCAATAACTGCCAAAAAAAGCCAATGGAGTTCTAAATACATCAACAGATGGATAACATCAAGATCACAGGAAGCACTACTCCTCTATATTGCCCTGGTAGGCTTAGGAACTTAAAGACTGATAGCAATCTTCCAATATTTGAAGTGCTGTCATGGGGACAATGGCATCGATTTCTCCATACCACCTGAGGACAGAACAGGAAGCTGGAAGCTTGTCAGACAGAGATCCAACAAGGAAGTAAGGAGAAATTTCCTGATAGTAAGAAAGATTAAGCTGTGGATTAATTGGCCCTGCGGTATATCTCTATACTCTCTTTCCCAGGAGGAAACAGATCACCCTTAACTGGTGATTATCTGCAGACACATTTAATGTGGAAAAATATTTAGATTACCAAATTGCAATATGGTAGGTTTTAATAGCAGCTCTTACCTGCATTCAGTAAAGTTTGCTCATCTTCTACCAGCAGCATTCTAGTTATCTCTATTCCATTTTATCCTTTTCAATTCCTCCTCTTGAGGGACCAAGAGATCCACGGGTTGGAAGAAATTGCATGAAGCAATCCTGTTCAAAACCCCATTCAAGGCAGTGACTAGGAGGTTTACACAACAGATAATGTCAAGAATAGGATGGTGTCATGAATATATTCAAAAGTTAAGATGGTTTGTACCTTTACATTCCAATCACACTTATTGTGTTAGTGAAGGAGAGTCATTCAAAACGTCTTCATCGGTTTGTATTTTCTCATATTAAATTGTATAAGGGCTGTTAAGTGATTTGAAGTGCTGTTAAGCAAATAATCTTAGAGATATTAATATTTCTTAGATACATAACCTATTTCATTCTTTTTCTTCAATTTCTGTTTTCTTAGGTTGGCATAGGATTGGGTATTGGTTTTAATGTAAATATTGCATTTACTGGTGGTCTTAATCCACCAATAGGAGACCCAGAATACTTGACTGCTTTCAGGTAATTCTTTATCATTTTTTCTTAGATTGATGGGTCATTAGAAGTATGTCAACAAACCACAATATTCTAATTTGTACACTTATACTAAGCATAAGCCTCATGCTTATAAAAAATGAAATAAGTTACATAAAGGCAAAGCCAGTTTTAATGAATGAAATTTATCTCTATAATGTTTTGGTTTATGATAGATTTCTCATGTGATATTTTTCATGCTATTTATGTTAATAGTGGTTCTTTTCAACATGTATTCCTTATATTACATTTTCTCTTGTAGTTTTTGATGAGTAAGTCTCATTTTAATAAAGTCAAGGCACTGTGACATCCTTTATTTATAGCATCAGATTAAGAAAATAATTGCTGGAACTACTGTTCATGGTAAAATTATCCTAATGGTCCATTTTAGATAAATACCAAGGGAAAATGTAAGTTTAGAGCTAAAGAAACTATAGAAACAAGCTGCAATATCAACAGCACTTATATACCGCTTCATAGTGTTTTACTTCTCTAAGAGGTTATAGAGTCAGCATATCACCCCCAACAATCTGGGTTCTCATTTACTTACCTCAGAAGGATAGAAGGCTGAGTCAACCTTGAGCTGGTGAGACTTGAACTGCCAAGCTGCAGGCAGCTGGCAGTCAGCAAAAGTAACCTGCAGTACTGTATTCTAAACACTGCGCCATCATGGTTAGAACGCAATGAGGAATAAAAACTAGTATATTTGTTCTGTTTCTCACAACATTCATTATATTCTAAAGCAAAACATTTGAATTAGGCTAGACAGCTATGCCTAAATATATTTTTGTGCCCCCACAAAGATCTTTTAAATACAGTTGGTAAAAACTAGCCATAGAGTTCCCTACAATTTTGAGATGGAAAAACATGCCAAAGTTGTCCAAATAGTGTAAATAGTATACTATAAAACAAAGAATAAAAATCCACCACAAAGCCTAGGATAGTTATCTAGTTGATTGCAGCCAGAAAACTTCCAAAACAATGGCAAATGCAATCAACAGGAACTAGAGAGTACTGTGTACTTTATCCATCACAGAGTTGACAACAGTGCTCCACTATTAGGCCTTGTATTATACTCAGTGCACGATTTCATTTAATAATCCTAATTAGATTATGCAGATGAAGCATGCATTTTAATATTAATATTATGAAATTAAAATAATTGACACTCAGCTGTACAGTTTAATTTCTTAAGTGCCAATGATTTCAATCAGGAATAAGCAAATTTAGTTGTACCTTGTTAGCGTTATATGTGATCCATAGAATTTCACATGTACAATGTATACCTCTTTCTAATTCATTGTTTTCTATGCAACTATTAATAAATTTGTAAATCAATGTAGATTTTTTCTATAGCTGTAAAGGAAAGTGTAAAATTCAGAAGTTCTGCTTTATAGTATAAACCACAGTGTTTGTTTGTGGCTTTAGCATCTTCTCTAGGCCCTTTTCTCATTCTGTGTTGAAAATGCCAGTGAAGAAGAAAACGGAATTGTTCAGTATTTGAAAAGTACAGTAATCTGTTTTCTGCCTTTTTTTTCTTTTTGGGATTGGCTATTCATGATGCAGAACAATAGTAATGCCTATTGCTCATGAGTTTGCTCCAGATATTGTACTGGTGTCATCAGGTTTTGATGCAGTAGAAGGTCATCCTGCACCCCTTGGGGGATATAATCTATCGGCAAAATGTAAGTTCTTTCAGACTATTAACTTTCACAGATATTTGTTTCTATATTTACATTTGGGATCTTTCAGCTTCAAATTTAGCAATCACTGTTCTCATTTCACTCTTTATGGAATTTGAACGATACCAGGAAAGACAAAAATAGTACTGGTAGTCCTTATTTGGCAACCACAATTGGGACTGGTAGTTCTTTTGTAAAGTAAAATGGTTGGTAAGTGGGATTGTGACTGTGCTTTCCATTTCCCCACTCCCCTACTCTTTGGAATGCTCACTTCACCCTAGGATAATTCTTAAAAAGGAAATTGGAGAGGAAGGGGTTATAAGAAAGTAGGGGTTAGAACACATAGCTTTAAAATAACACAGTAGAAAAGGGGTAGGAAGGGGAGAAAAAGTTGGATTGAACAGTCAGGATGCAGATGTAGATAGAGTTAAAGATCCAAGAGAAGAATATGGGAGGCAAGTTTAAAAAAAGAGTTAAGACTTAAGGTACTGATGAGGCCAAGAAACAATGGATAGGAAAAAAAAAAGGGGGGGGAGAACATATTTTAACAAAAACATATTTTAACAAAAATGTATATTAACATTAGAATTATATAGACTGGATAATTATTTTGTATGTATTGTGATAGGCACTAGGATAATACAGTATTTTAATACAAATAGATATGAAGAGTGAAATATGGGAATGATGAATAAGAACTGAGCATTAATTGGAAAATTAGAGAATTAGTGATGGTATTATTGACATGCCTAAATAATATAATGATTAGCAGTGAAATAATAAAATTAAACAATGAGAAATTAGATAATGAAAGAATATATTTTAATATAAGCATGTGTATTAATAGTAGAATTATATGGATTGGATGAATAGAAGGAATATGAATAGATCTACCCTATATGTTTAAATGATACTTGTGATTGGTATTAGAATTGTATATTGAAACATCGAACAATGAAAGAATGAAGGATGGACTTCCGGTGGCATTTCCGTCGAAGATGGATCAAAGACTGCGATCGTGCGCGGCTTTGATCCGTGTTTACCGGAACCATCTGACCCACTTCGGAGGGGTGGGGGAAGAGGGGGAGACTGCCAGCTGGGTCAAGGGGAGACGCATCTCCCCTCCCTGGCTAGGTATTAACTCCCCTGGAAGACAGGGAGAAATGGCAGTTTAATGGCTGCCCTGAAGACGGAAAGCTGCCGGGACCTAAGTATATGCTGGAGCAGTGAAGTGGTGAGCGACATGTAACCAGAATAAAGAACTTGAACTTTTTTTAAAATAACCCCGAGAAGGAGAAAGAAGGAGCCCTTGCTTAAGAGTATGACAGCGATGAATGGAAAATAAGAGGAAAATATAAGGTAAACAAAATTGAATTATAAAAAGCTACAGTGAAATTAGAGATTAAATTTGGAAACAATATATATATAATTTGGCATCAAATAGGCATTGGACAAAATGCTGGACTTGCCTGGAATTGACTATATTTCAGAAAGCTAATAGTGGAAATCGTGGAAAATTAACGTTAATATAATTGAAAAGAGAAAAGAAAAGAACTTTGAAAAGTGGAAAGTGATGTAGAGAGCCACCTAATGGTTAAAAGACTTTTTTCCTTCATGATTTTATAGAAAATCACTGGTTGTATAATTGCTATAGGATAAAAGAATAATAAAAGAACAAGAACCCCGGAAACTTTAAAAAGGGGGGAAGAATTGTGGTAAGAGGATAAATGAATGCAATATCCTGGGAATGTTGGGTGTTGATTGTGATAAAGAGACAGAAGTATTAATAAGGGGAATAGAGACAAAAGGAGACTTTTGGCAACGATCGTAACAAAAGACTTTGAATTTTAATAACTCAACTGATTTTTAAAAATGGAAGAAATAAGCAAAGACTTTAAGTCTGAATTGCAAACTGTAAGAAGAATGCTGAAAGAAAGATGGGAATTATTGGACATACTGGCAAAAAAAAATGGTGATGCAGTCTGTAGAAGAACAAAGAAATCTCAGAGAGGAGTTAAAGAAAGAGGAAAGTGACTCAGATGAACATGGAGAACAAGAGATATCGCCAAAAGTCATTAAAGGAACTAAAACTATGACATTGATGACAGAGTTAATAAATAATTAGTTAATAAACGCTCCCAGGATTAAACAAAAGAAGAAGAAATTCTACAAGAAGAAACATCAAAAAAGAAAGCAGGAAAGAGTGGGGGTGAACATGGGTGACTGGCAGCTGGAAATAAAAAGGAAAGATCAAGAAAGCTTAGAAAAGGGAAACCTAGCTAAAACCAAGAGAAATGACAAGGCCAAGATATTTAGAGATAAGGGTTAGATATGATATAAAAGGGGGATGCCACAAAGAAATGTATTTGGGTATTTTTTTAATTAAAAACTTAAAAAGGGGAGATTTGAAATTCAAAATGTATTGGGAATTATCCTAAAAGTATTATATAACTATATATGAGAAAAGTGAAGATGAACTAAGAGGTGTTAAGAGGGTTTTATTATTATTAATTAATTCATCTATCTGTGTGTGTGTGTGTGTGTGTGTGTGTGTGTATGCATGTGTGTGTGTGTGTGTGTGTGTATATATATATATATATGTTCATTCTGAAGTTTTCGCAGATATTTGTATGTGGATCTTTGGTTATTCGGATTTTCTCCCGTGTAAAATTGGAAGTATCTAGATGACGTTTCGATGAAGTCTCATTCGTCATCTTCAGGCTTGTGTCTTCGGCTTTGTGCTTCTCAGAGTAATGTGAGCTTGCAGCTACTTCTTCTATATTTTCGTAGATTTTCACGGGTACAGGTATGTAGGTCTATGTGTGTTCGGGTCTTTTTCCGTGTAAGATTAAGAGTATCTTGGCGACGTTTTGGCGAGGTCCCACTAGCCATCCTCAGGCTGGTGCTTTCGGCTTTGTGCCAGTGCAAGCAGTGTGTGATCGGAGCTGCCGTCTCTCTAGAAATACTGGTGGTGGGGGCTGGTGTGCTGGGCTGGTTGGCTGCGCTGCTGCCTCTTGATTGGTTGATGGAGTTGATGTTGGTATAATGGGCTGTGTGATGGCCTTGTGAGTTTTGTTGTGGAAATATTCTGGATCTTGTGCTGTAATCTCCTGGGTCGTTTGTTTTGTAGTGATCTTTTTTCCATTAGCCTCTTGTGTTTTAACGGCTTGGGTAATGGGTTGTGTGATGGGCTTGCGAGTTCTTTTGTTGTGGTATCCTGGGTCCTGCGTTGTAATCTCCTGGGTCATTTGTGTTTTGATCTCTTTTCCATTAGCCTCCTGTGTAGTAACGGCTTGGGTAATGAGTTGTGTGATGACCTTGTGAGATTTATTGCTGTGGTATCCTTGGTCTTGTGCTGTGATATCCTGGGTCATTTGCTGTGTTGCAACTTCTTGAGTTCTTGTGGTGTAATTTCCTGAGTTTTCTGGTGTGATATCCTGAGTGGGTGGCTGTGATGTAGCATTCTGGGTTTTAGCCTGGCTTCGAGTTTGCGGTCTGGGTCTGTGTTCTTGGCATGTGTCAGCTTGTTTCGTTTTGGGGTCAGGGGGTGCAACAGCTGGTGAGGCAGCCATGGTCTGTTTTCTGGATGGTGGTTGTCCTTTGTTTATAGGATGGGCTTGGGCCTGGGTCTAATGAGGGGGATTGGTGGTGGTGTCCTGAGTTGTTTTGGATCTGTGTTGGTTTTCGTGGCTGGGACTCGTTTGTTGGTGAGGGCTAACTTCCGGATGTCTGGTAGGCGGGAGGTATCGTCCTGTCTATTCATGTTATGGGCGTGTTTCTCTATCTTGATGGCTTCCCTGATTATTCTCTTGCTGGAGTGTTCACTGTTGGATATTAATTTGGTTCCTTCGAAATTAATTTCATATCCTGTGGCTTTAAGGTGCTGGAAGAAGGAGGAAGTATTTTCTTCTGACTGTGTTTTTGTGTTCTGCGATGCGTGCATTTATTCTCCTGTTGGTTTGTCCAATGTATGTGCCTGGGCAATTGTTGCATGGTATTTCATAAACTCCTTGGTTTTCTGGCTGGATCTTGTCTTTGGGGTTTCTTAGGATGTTGGCTATTTTTTGGTCAGTGACGAAGGCTGTCTTGATATTGTGTTTGTGGAGAATTTTGCTGATTTTGTCTGTGGTGCCTTTGATGTAGGGAGGAGGGTGATACAGTTGTCCTGTTCTGTGTCTTGGTTTTTGGGAGGTATCTCTTTTCAGATTAGATTGGTGATAGTGTTTCTTTGGAATCCGTTGGAAATTAATACATTAGTGAGGGTGTGTAGTTCTGTTCTCAGGTGGTCTTTGTCAGCTAGGCGTTTGGTTCTGGAGATGAGGGTCTTGGCTATGGAGTTGATCTGTGCAGGGTGGTGATGGGATTGTGCATTTAGGTAGCGGTTGGTGTATGTTTTCTTCTGGTAGATGGTGTGTCCTAGGGAGCCATTGGGTTTTTTGTAAATTAGGATGTCCAGGAAGAGAAGTTGGTTATTGGTTTCTGTTTCCATGGTGAATTGTATTTTGGGGTCTAGATTGTTAAGATGTGTGAGGAAGTTGTCCAGTTTTTCTTTCCCGTGTGGCCAAATTACGAAAGTGTCATCTACATATCTGAGCCAGAGTTTGGGTTTGTGTTCGGATTTGTCTAGAGCATTGGTTTCAAAGTGTTCCATGTATAGGTTAGCGATGACGGGTGAGAGGGGTGATCCCATGGGTGCTCCTTCTATCTGTTTGTATCTTTGTCCATTGTGGATGAAGTATGTGTTGGTTAGGCAGTGGTTGGTCAGATCTAGGATGTGTTTGGGGGAGTTGTATTTGTTTTAGATGGCTGTCAAGGCTTCTTAGATGGGTACTTGGGTAAGAGGGATATACATACATACATACATACATACATACATATCCTAAATGAAATACAAAATATAATTGACTAAACAAAGTATATGAAAAAATAAAAAATATGGATCATATTGGAATTTTATAACGAGAATATTATTATAATTAAAAGTAGGGGAATGAAATTTTATTTAAATTACAGGGGTAAAATTTGGCTATGTGGAAATAAAAAAATATATGAAATGGTTATATGAATAGTGTTGGAATAAATATATTCTAGATTGAGGACTATACCATGTGGATCCTAAATATATTAATTTTACTTTAATCTTGCTTTTTTGTGTGTTTACTACATATTGGTCTTGAGTTAATTAATGAAGATAATAATGCATAAGGTAAAATAAAATAGGTGGTAAGCTGAAAATGGAAATAATAGGGGATAAAGAATTGAAAATATATGTGAGGAAATGATTTTGATATTGAATTAATGAATTGAAATATGAAATGGAAATTTATTTGAAGATTAGTGGAGTGGATAATAATTTGATGTGTTATAAAGTAAGAAAGTTAAAAATGTTAGTATGACTATGTATAAATGTTGTAATCTGGAGTCACGTTGCTCACGTGAAGAGATATGTAAAAAAATAAAAAACTTATTAAATTTTAAAAAATGAAGGATAAAACTTTAACATATATAGATGTGAAGAGTTAAACAAGGGAAATATGAATAATAAAGCAGATGAAAGATGGAAGACAGAAAAGAAACATCTTTGAATTCTACGGTGACATGAAGAAATAGAAATAAGAGGGGGAACAACAGTATACATATTTTAATATAGCAACATATATGTAATAATAAGAGGGAAATTTAGAAATTGAATGGTGGTAGTATCAGATGTGTGCAAACAATATGAAACAATGAAAATGAAATGTAATAACTATGAGTAATGATATTAAGTTTATTTGTACTAAAATGTATGGTACCCAGGTATCATACTGTTCATGCATTGATATGTATAAGCAATATAAAATAAAAAAACTTGACCAAAAAAGAAAAAGAAAATTGAGACAACAATTTGAAATATTTCTGGTTTTTGAGATGAACTTTTTTAGTTGCTTATTCTTATTCTTCACCTTATTCTTTTTTGCTTTTTCTCAGGCTTTGGATACCTCACCAAACAGCTTATGGGGCTGGCTGGAGGACGAATCATTCTGGCTCTTGAAGGAGGTCATGACCTAACAGCCATTTGTGATGCATCTGAAGCATGTGTCTCTGCCTTGCTAGGAAATGAGGTAGAAGTAAAAATGCAGTTTATGCTTTCATTAATTAACATTTTATTTTTAAATCTATCATGATGTGGGTATCTTCCTTCATTATGGTCTCTTTGAAATTACAAGAATTTTGCACCAAAAAAGAAGTTCCAAAGCAAATTAATGTGATGAGAGTCCTCTTGGGAAAGTAGTCTCTAAATAGATGCAGCTTCAGTTTTTTCTCTCAGTTCATTTTCCTTCACCATACTATGAGTATATTGGCATTTATTTTTCAGAACCTGACAGTCCAGGTTCTGAGGGCTTATTCTCACATTACTTTTTTCCATTTAACGTTCCTTCTTTCATGCTGTTTTCCACTGCTTCATTTCTCCCATATTGTGAGAAACACTATGGGCCCCAAATGATTCATTTAGGAAGTGCTAGAGAAAAAGTAGGAAAGTATCACTACTGCATACAACTGTTTGTATCTCTTTGGACAAAAGAGGTATTTCTGGTAGCCATCACAACTTACGTTTTAACAAATAAGACAAGAGAAACCAGTCTTCCAGATTTTGTTGGGAAATGAATAGAAAATGTTCGGTCAATACCTGAAATGGTACATTGCTCCATTTCAAGGAAGCGCTTCCATGTTACGAGCTCCCAGAGCATAGCATAAGTGTCCTTCTCCCAAGCTGCTCATCTATGCTCAGTCCCTGACAGTTTTCTAGAGAGGTGTAGGCGCACACCTGCAAATTCCCTTGTTTGTTCCACTGTAAGAGTATACACCCCCTTCTGCCCACAACACTAGCATCTGCCTGGATGACAAATGGGATCTGGGTATTTTAGGACAGGTTTGGCTGCAAACAAGCGTTTAAGCTTTTATATATATAGAATAGTTTAACATTTTATTGGGTTATAAAATAAGATACAAAATACAAAAGTAAATAGAAAAACACTGGGGAGGAAGAGGAGGAAGAAAAGTGAGGGAGGATAAAAGAAAAAGAAAAGCACTGACTTTCGACTCTCTATTGCAGTAAAATAAGGCATTAGCATCAAATCACAACTTTTCATAACAAAAAGCACAAAGTTCAGAAGCGGTCTCCATGCGGAAATAAAAGTACTTGCATTCTATTTAGTCAGTTTTGCAATTTCAGCCAACTCCATCAATTTCTGTGGCCATTCGTCCATTTTAGGAATTGAAGTGTCCTTCCATCTTTGTGCATACAATAGCCTTGTGCTGTCAGCATATGTAGTAATAAAGTTCCATATTTTTTCTCCAGGTCTTTTTCCATTAGACCCAAAAGGAAAAGTTCTGGTTTTATCTTTATCTCCATCTTCAAAAAAAATTGTATTAAAATATGAATCATATTCCATTTTTTTTTTGCTTTATCACATACTGTAAGTATTCAATAATAATTAAGACAGTCCTCACATTATTTAGCAGCAGGATTGTCTTGTGGCAAAATGGGCAGATAATAAATTTAATAAATTAAATAAGAAATAAGACTGAAAAAAAAAAAGCCCAGTCTGGTAGCAGCACAAGATAGCTCAGTCAGCAAACTTTGCTAGTGTATTGTCTGCTGACATATACAGCATTAGCTTCATTAATATTCTTTGATAGCCTACTCTGCATTAGAGTGTGAGATTGGAAATCAAGAATCAAGTGAAAGAACTGGAAATCACAAGGAATAGTTAAAACCCTTAAGAAGATTTGGCTTGCAGAAGAGAAGGTTGAATGATAGCTGAATACCTGAAGAGCAGTCACATTAATGTAGAGGGTTTGAATTTATTCTCTCTTGCTCTAGGAAATAAAACTGGAACAAATTAAACTTCCAGGATGTAGATATAGATTAGATGTTTGGAAGAACTTCTTGAGAGTAAGATCTATCAATCATGTTACAGATTATTGTATAGTATAATTTCTTCCCTTCACTGATGATTTTCAGAGGCTAGATAGTCATTGGTCAGGGATGGTGCCTGCACTTACATAATTTCCACGTCTATGATTCTACTATACAGTGCAAGGATTGGAAGCGTCATGGCCAAAGAAACAAGAATGACACATGGAGTTACTTTGAATGGTTTCTTTATTATTGTTCATCTATAGACAGAATCTTGCCAGACCAAAGCAATTATCTACATACCTATAGATATACTCTAAGGGTGTCTGTCTTTGCCTTTTTCCTATTTACCGGACATTTCAGACTCTTCTGTTTTTAGCCCTCTGGGTAGGACAACTTCCCTCTTCCAACTTCGGATTACATTCCATCACAGGAAGGGTTCTTGGGGATTATGTAAACCCAACATCCTATACAGTGGATATTTGCTTTATTCACTGCTATAGCAAATATATTCAATTAAGTTTCATCCTGAAGACTGGTTGCTTCATTCCCCATTGTGGACAAAAATCCTCTCTTCTAAAAGCACTATCTCCAATCTATGATCTCTTCTTGTTTTCATCATTGCTTAGCACCTGCCTTACGAGTGAAGAATCTTTTATTTTTGTTATCTCAGAATTCTTCCGCTGACTAAAAGCCAGATTAAAACAAAACTCCAACCCAGAGAAACCCATATTGGAAATGAAGAAATTATACAGTGACTAGGAACTAATCAAAGCTAGATGCAATGTAGATTTACTTGATTGACTGTGGATTGAACTGTGTGTATGTGAGATACACAGAGAGATGCCTGTGAGAGCAAAAGACTGAAAACATCCTCTTCATAAGCAATATTCATTTCTTTTATTTTTCCTCTTTTTCTCTTTCACTTTCTCTTATTAACCAGTTCTTGATTCATTTGGAAATATAATGAATCAGTGGCAGAGCAGACACCATTTTAAGTATTTGTGCATATTATATATCTAGTGAGCATATAAAATCATAGCAAATTGATCATGGTGGGGATTAGGCTGTATACAAATTCATTTTAGAACAGCTATTTAATGACTACTGACTGTTCTGCAACAATCATAGATCAGCAATCTTTCTAAATGTCTATATCATCTATCGATCATCTATGTATCTATCTCCTATCTTATTTCATTCTTCAACATAGTGTCTAAATTAGTAGTCCAGTGAAATACTGTGGACATAATATACCTAGACTTCAGCAAGGCATTCGACAAAGTAGATCATAACCTACTTCTTGGTAAGCTAGAAAAAAGTGGGATAGATAGCATCACCACCAGATGGATTTGTAACTGGCTGACAAACCATACTGAACGAGTAGTCCTTAGTGGGTCTATGTCTACATGGAGGGAAGTAAGCAATGGGGTACAATAAGGTTCCATCTCAAGCCCAGTACTCTTCAATATCTTCATAAACAACTTAGATGAGGGAATAGAAGGGGAATTTACCAAATTTGCAGATGATACTAAGCTGGGAGGAATAATTAACAATCTAGAAGATAGGCTCAAGATCCAGATGAATCTATACTGGGCCCTATCTAACAAAATGAAATTTAATGTAGAAAAAAGTAAAGTCTTACACTTAGGCAAGAAAAACCAAGAGTACACATAGACTGGGTGAAACCAAGCCAATGCAATCCTAAACTGCATTAACAGAGGGATACAATCAAGATCAAGTAAGGTACTAATACTTATCTCAGTAAGTAAAAACTTTATAAAGATAAAGCCTTAGTAAGACCACACCTAGAATACTGCATCCAGATTTGGTCACCACACTATAAAAAAGATGTTGACATTCTAGAAAAAGTGCAGAGAAGAGCAACCATGATTAGGGGACTGGAGACTAAAACATACGACAAAATAGTTGCAGGAACTGGGCATGGCTAGTCTAGTGAAGAGAAGTACCAGGAGAGACATGATAGCAGTGTCCCAATATCTGAGGGGCTGCCACAGAGAAAAAGCTATTTTCCAAAGTACCTGAAGGCCAGACAAGAAATAATGTATGGAAACTGATCAAGGAGGGATTCAATCTGGAAATTAGGATAAATTTTCTGACAGTGAGAACAATCAACCAGTGGAACAGCTTGCCTTCAGAAGTTGTGGGAGCTTCATCACTGGAGGCTTTCAAGAAGAGATTGGACTGCCATTTGTCAAAATGGTGAGGGGTCTCCTGCTTGGGTGGTATGTGTGGACTAGATCAGTGGTTGCCAACTGGTGGGCCGTGAGAAAATTTTGGTGGGTCGCAGAGAAATCTCACCCCCAGAGCACCCCCCCAGGGCAATTAATCCAGGCTGCTCAGGAACACAAGGCTGCGCTGCCCACATGGCCTGCAGGAACCCTCCCCTCCCACTCACTCCTTACCCGGCAAACTTTCCTGCTAAATTGCTATTTTTTCTTTTTCCGACCATCATTTGTTCTGCCCTGCCGGGAGATTTAGATTAGCTAGGAAGCAGGAAATAGTTGGATTTCTTGCTTTCTAGCTAGTCTTTAGATCTTCAGCTCTGCTTTTAAGTACAACCAAACCTCCCTTAGGACTGAAGGTTTGCTTGCAAGCAAATTCTGTGCAGACTCACAGCAAGCAAATTTTATGTGACAGACTGAGCTAGCCAATGGCAGATAGATTTCTGAATGAATCTGTGATACTGTGAGCAACTCAATCTGCCTGCCTGCTTTGCCTGATTTTGGGTAAAAGTTGCTCTATTTTTTTATAAAAAAATCAATATTTATATCAATATTTATAATATTTATATACAAGCCATGCCCAGCCAGTCACATGACCACCAAGCCAAACCCACAAATTAGGCCACACCCACAGAACTAGTTGGTGGTCCCTGGGATTTAAAATTATGAGTTTGGTGGTCCCCGAGGTCCAAAAGGTTGGCGACCCCTGGACTAGATGACTTACAAGGTCCCTTCCAACTCTGTTAATCTGTATCTACCTATCTATCTCATCACATTTAGAAACTGTCCATCTCCCTCACAGAATTAGGGAGAAAATTAGTTTTTCTGAATCTAAATTACAGTAACTACATCTGTGATTCTCTTCTAGACACTCCATGAAAGTGTTTTATTAAGAAAATAGTTTCAGATTTGTTTTCTTGTTTTCTAAGAGCTGAATTGGTATATTTTGGTATACAGTACAGTTGTTGAACCCTAGGATTGTGCACACTTCAGCACACATGTGCGCAGCGTGCACATGTCTGTACATTCATTAATGCAGCTCTTTTAAAACGTTCTGTGTGAGTCTGAAGAAAAGTTTCAGATGCTTTAAGAATCAAATCAATTCACAAACCATTTTAATGATTCATTTTTAAAACTTGACATTTCATCATGTATGTGAATGTGGACTAAATTAGTGGAGAAGCAAAATGCTGTGGACATAATGTACTCGGATTTCAGTAAGGCATTTTACAAAGTAGACTACAATCTATGTCTTAATAAATTAGAAAAATGTGGGATAGACATCATCACCACCAGATGGATTTGTAACTGGCTGACAAACCCCACTCAACATGTAGTCCTTAATGGAACTATATCTACATGGAAGGAAGGAAGCAGTGGGATACCCCAAGTTTCTGTTTTAGGCCAAGTACTCTTCAATATGAGAATCAGAATAGAGCTGGAAGGGACCTTGGAGGTCTTCTAGTCCAGTCCCCTGCTCAAGAAGGAGACCCTATACCATTTCAGACATTCAGTCTCTTCTTAAAAACCTCCAGAGATGAAGCACCCACAGTTTTTGAAGGCAAACTGTTCCACTGGTTAATTGTCCCCAATATTAGGAAGTTTCCTTCTTAATTCCAAATTGCTTCTCTCCTTGATTAATTTCCATCCATTGTTTCTTGTCCTGCTCTTCGTTGCATATCTTCATAAACAATTTAGATGAGGGAACAGAAACTAAAACATATGAAGTACAGTTGCAGGAATAGGGTATATCTAGTCTAGTGAAAATAAGGACAGAGATAGCAATGTTCCAATATTTGAAGGGCTTTATATGCTAAGTGTTTTGGTGCAGAATGCAATGCAGATGGGGAAGGTTATGTGCAGAGAGTCTGGGAAATTACTCCACTTTTCTAGTTTCTTATAAAAGTAGATAAATCTATTTAAAATAAGTATCTAAATGTTTTAAATTTTCTTAGCTACATCTCTGATAGCTGCATGATGAAATCATACGTTATTTAGATTCCATTCACATTTAGATTCCTTGCACTACAATGTTGAAAATATTTTTATAACAGAAAGAGGAGATTATCACAAATGGCAGTTGGATATAATTTCAAAGGATGTCAAATCACATATTTTTTTTACTTAAAGAAATCTAAACTGTTCAATACATATGTTCATTGTTTATTTTTAAAATGATATTCTAAATTGTATTTTTTATTATCTCAGCTTGATCCTATTCCTGAAAAAATATTACAGCAGACAGCAAATGTTAATGCAGTGCATTCCATTGAGAAGGTCATTGAAATACACAGTGAGTACTTAAAAACAGTAGTATTCCTTCTACAGTTAGACCAAATCTTTATAAAATTCAAAATGCTGCAGGATATTCATTTAACCTTTTGTTTTCACCTCCCCACCCAAACAAAACACTTTGTCCAACCTCTGCTTGAATACTTCCAGCAAAAATGTACTCAAGTAGCCACTCTGCCAATCTATTTTTACTTTTAATCTTTTCTTACCTCAGCTGGATCATGCCTTTCTTTGTCTTTGATTAGTGTCCACTCTCTGACATGATAAACCTCTGCAACCACAAAGTCAAATGTCTGAAAACTGAAATAAGTTTTCTTCTTTCAAACCTACATTGATTTCATATGCAGCTTGCGACGCAACTAAAAAATTCATTTAATGTATATTTCTGCCAAGCCTCGTAGCGTACTTCTCATTTGTTTTATCTTTCCTTTCCTCGTTTGAGACCTAGCTCCTGCCAATCCAGCAGTTTCAAAGCATGCAAATGCGAGTAGATAAAAAGGTACCACTTCAATTCCCACAATACCCCTAGCTAGGTAACAGTGGTCAGCGATATCATGCTGGCCACATAACTGCAGAAATGTCTTTGAACAGTGCTGGCTCAATGGCCTTGAAATGGAGATGAGTACTGCCCCCTAGCGGAATAAAATCGACTAGCGGAATAAAATCCACAGGGACTCCTTAAAAGGACCTTTATTCATTCTATTACTTTGTCAATATTTGTAAAACTTAACAAGTTCATCTTGAATTTTAGTTAATGAATTCTAGGTATCTTCTGCCCTAGGGAGCTTAATCTTTAATGAAATGTTGCAGAGGACCACAACCCGTGGCGGTCTATCTGATAAAGAACTAAGACTTTCATTTGAGTATGATTTTCACGACAAGTTATGTTTCTATTTAATTACTCAGTTTTTACTATTCTTAATCAGGCTGCCATGGGGCACTTTATTCACTGCTTTGTTGAAAACAAGATATAATACACATGTCCTCAACTTACAAGTTACCTAGTCCTCAACGTACAACCATTCATTCCTTTCAAGTTATGGCACCGATTTTTTTTTTATGATTGTTTCTCACACTTGCAATTGTTGCAATGGTTACATGGTTACATGATCAAAATTTGGATGCTTAGCACATGGAGCTGCAGTGAAATAGGGAAATATATTATTACTTTGTTTACATATATTTTGTAAAGTGTCTTAGAAAAATCTCCCAGATTTGTTTCATTTTGCAGCTTGATTATGCTTTTCTTTTGTTTAATAGAAAAATGATAGATTCTATAATGGTTTTAACTTTCCTTTAGGTAAATATTGGCATTCGCTCCAACATTATTCTTCAACAGTCAGTTATTCTTTGATAGATGCACAGAAGTGTGATAATGAAGAAGCAGAAACCGTAACAGCAATGGCATCTTTGTCAGTTGGAGTTAAACCACTTCCTGAGAAAAAGTAAGTTTTATTCTTTATCTTTTTGGAGGTGGGGATTTTTTTGAATCCGTGCTGACTGCTGGTGGCTAGTCCCTACAGTTTTCTTGAAAAGATTTTGATTAGTTACTGAGTGATTAGTCCACCATCAAAAGCAAAAACACTGAAAAATTTTCACAGTTCACCCTGTGAGAGTTTGGAAATATTTGGAGAGTTTGAGATGAATAGGTGATAGCAAAAGTATCTTGCAGGAATAGCTAACACCCAAGAAGATAGGCTCAAGATCCAGATGGATCTTGACAGACTAGAACACTGGGCCGTATCTAACAAAATGAAATTCAATATAAAGAAAAGTAAAGTCCTACACTTAGGCAAGAAAAACCAAAAGTACATATATAGACTGGGTGAAACCACGCTCAATAGCAGTAACTGTGAGAGGGATCTTGGAGTCTTAGTGGACAAGCAGCTAAATATGAGCCAGCAGTGTGCAGCAGCAGCCAAAAAAACTAATGCAATCCTAAGTTGCATTAACAGAGGGATACAATTGAGATCAAGTGAGGTACTAATACCACTCTATAAAGCCTTAGTAAGACCACACCTAGAGTACTGCATCCAGTTTTCTTCACCATATTATAAAAAAGATGTTGAGACTCTAGAAAAAGTAGAGAAAAGAACAACATGATTAGGGGGCTGGAGACTAAAACATATGAAGAACGGTTACAGGAACTGGGCTTGGCTAGTCTAGTGAAGAGAAGGACCAGGGGAGACATGATAGCAGTCTTCCAATATTTGAGAGGCTGCCACAGAGAAGAAGGGGTCAAGCTATTTTCTAAAGCCGCCTGTAGGCCAGACAAGGAATAATGGATGGAAACTGAACAAGGAAACCTGGAAATAAGGAGAAACTGTCTGATATTGAGAACAATCAACTAAGGGAACAGCTTGCTCTTGGAAGTTGTGGGAGCATCATCACTTGAGACTTTCAAGAAGAGATTGGACTGCCATTTGTCAGAAATGGTGTAGGGTCTCCCGCTTGGGCAGGGGTTGGACTAGATGACCTATAAGGTCCCTTCCAACTCTGATTATCTGTTATCTGTTAAGTCACTGTTGAAAATCACTCCACTTCCAGTTTTGCTAAATCAAGAGTATTCCCTTATTAAAAAGTACAACAAATTAATAAAATGCATTGTCAATGGCACTAATTGGGCCTCAGATTTAATTCATTAGCTTGAAGAAGGACAAATTTAGGGCTGCAAATAACAGACCAAAAAGTAGTAAAGGTTTACAATTAAAAATCTAAGAAGATAAATAAAAAAACAAATGAAAAATCTAGGGAAGGGTTTGGAACAGGAAGTAGTCTTGTAACCCTTTGTCAAACTTACCAGGGCACTGAAAAAAGTGACTTATGACTGTTTTTCACATGACATTGCAGTGTCCTTGTGGTCCCATGGTCAAAATTCTGAGGCATGGCAAGTGGCACATATTTATTATGATTGCAGTGTCCTGGAATCATGTGATCACCTTTTGCAACTTTCTGACAAGCAAAGTCAAAGGAGGGAACCACATTTACTGAACAACCATTCTGAGAGCTAGTTTAGTCTAAGACAGTGGGAAACTATGAGTTCTAGTCCCACCTTAGACATGACTCCCACTATTCCCTTAGCACTTTTAGCCACCTTAGCAGCAGCATTGGAGAGTTTTCTCCAATTTCTTTTTTTCCCCAGTAGCCTATTTTTCACTTACCTTCATTAATATAGTTTCTCTTTTGTTTTTTCCTTTTCCTTGCAAAAAGAAGGGCAAGTGGTACATCCATAAGTCTGCATTTCTTTTTCTTTTATTTTTATGAGTGGGCAATTATTCAACCACAACCCCTCTCCCTCTACAAATGCCTGGCTTGGTCTGATATTTCTGTTGATCATTATGTGTTCTGAGGAAACTGAGGGGAAAGGGCACGAGTTGTACTTGCTACTCAAACGATTCAGCTCCAAAAGATTCTTAAAAGGAGCTGAAGGCACAGGTCACCAAGTATAAGAACTTGTAAGCAAATGATAGCGTAAACAATCCATTCTTTCAAAGTGATTGTTCAGAATTTGGAATTCCAAATATGAAGCAATTTGTCTTAACAAAGTTCTGAGAACCAGACTCAGAACTTGATAACTATTAGGATTGTGTGTATTGTATTAAGTAGCCCATCAAAATAATATTGCTTTGCATGCTTATTAACAACTACAGCACCATCAATTAATAAACATATTTATCTAATTCTGGGCCATGCAGTTCTATTCTTCTGACTCCTCTTAATGAATTACTTACAGGCTAGATGAGGAGCCTATGGAAGAGGATCCTCTTCTGTAGCATACTCCTGGTTTGAAATGCTCCAGTGAAATTCATCTTGTCTTCGAAGGCCTGCCAAGAAGCTTTCTCTTGTTATACCTGCATCCTGCCCTGATTTTCTTCCAGGAAGGCAGCCATGTTGAAAAACAGCCTAATTACTCCGTATTGTAATTGTATGGATTATGCTCATGGGAAAAAATGCAGGTGAAGAACAGCAATATGAATTACAGACACACTGAGTGATCTTCCTTTTTTCCTCAATGGAAGCTATAAGAGGCAAGATACCAGGGAAGTATCTAGTTGTCAGTTTTTGCTGTTGTTTCAAAATCAAAGAGTTAACATGTATGTGACAATTTTCATTTAAAACTGGTGCTTAACATTTAATTACATTAAGACTACTCAAAGTAAATTCTACTTTTGTTTCAGTATTTTTGTGATTCTTGCGTACTTGTGAATAAGAGTTCTTCAAAACTCAGACCCTGAGGAGGGTTGTTTTTCTTCTTGTGAAGGGTAAAAAGAAAACTAAGCTTTTATATATTCATTCAAACTATATAAATGTGAAGAGGGAGAAAGATAGCCAGAAAAGGGATTGGCTTTGGCATTGCCAGAGCCATTGGAAGAGTTTGTGCCTTTTAAAATAATAGACTGATTTGGGCAGCTGTTTTTTCCTGACATTTTTTGAGTAATTATGCCTTAAAGAAAAGAACTTTGCAGCAGTTCCTCTGGCAGAGAAAGCCAAGAATTGCATTCTGTAAGAAAGATTCTAGGATTTCTGCTAGCACGATTATTTAAAGCAAGCAAAGGCCAGAGCTTCTCCCAAACAGTCTACAACCTTATTTTGATTTTTCTTTCCTTGCTGTTTAATTTTTTTAAAAATTAAGGTAGTTGCCAGTAATATGGCAAATGCTGTTGGGTTTCTTAAGTTCATTGATTTTTAAAAAATCCAACATCTTCTTCTATACATTATGTATAACAAATTATCAATTTGGTTGTAAAGGCATGCACAAATACAATTGCAATTTTTTTAAAAAATGGAATGCTTTTTATTAAAAGCAGATTGCATGGGATATTGCTTAATTTTTTAGGTATAAATATTTATGTACGCTGTATAATGAATAATATAAATATATTCCAAACTTAGGAAAATGACTCTTACAAATTATTAATTAAATATTTATAATGCATTTATATTAACTATATGAATAAGTGGCAACCCTTGGAAACTCCTTCCAAAGGATTTGTGGATTGAAAGGTTAAGATCTAGTTAAAATGCCCATTTTCAAAGTGCAGTTTGGAACATTAAAATGCCTAACATTTTAGCCACTGGGCAACTACCCAACATATTATTTAACTTTTAAGTTCTTCAATGTTGACCCTCTTTTAACAAACAAAGTATTTCTGGCAAATATTTGTTTGCTACTGCTTTATTTTCACATTAGTTTTTCAGATAAGGGCCAATTATTTGCATTGATTTTCATGTTTGGTTTTCATTTGAGAACTCTGTTTCCAGACATTATTTCCTGGACTTACATAATTTCTCCTTGGACACTGAAGTTTGCATATTTCCAGATTTTTGTACAGAAAACACTTTTCCTAATCTTGTGCATGTTGCAAACTGATATGTATTATTTTCAGCATATTCTTTTCTCAAAAGGAAGGATTTCACAGTCATTTTTAAGATCACAAATTGATTGTATAATTTCTCAGTTATTCAGTTGTAGTTGTTATGCTACCTAAAGAAAATGATAAACTTTCATCTCTTAAAAGCTGATTAGTATTATAAAGAATAATGTATATTTTCAATGGCAAGGATTATTAAAGGCATTAATAATTTAAATAAGTTGAAAGATATTCTGTTGGTACAATTAATACTGAGCAAATACACATTACTGTGCTTAAATAATCCCTTTAAAGAATACTTCAAAATAAATTATTAATAATAATAATAAGGTTTTTTGAGAGTATGTTAATCTTCACCATAATCTCTTCTACATTGTTTTTAAATGAGAGAAGTTGGCCCTCTTGGTGCAGCTGCTTAAATTTTTAGCAGGGAAATTATAAGAGATTATTTTTTTTCTAAAGAAACTTTTTTTGTTATATTAACTGACAGAGTCAATTTATAATTATGTAGTTTTGAAAAGCTTTTTTTTTTCTTTCATTCCATTATGACTGGAGTCGTGAGAATGTAAACATAAATTTCGATGAGTACAGAAGAGCTTTAAGAGTTTATTTAATGCAAAAGTTAATATGCAATTTTTAAAGCAGACACTACAATATTAATGTTCATGCTAACCCAAATATGGTTTCTTTTTGGCATTAGAACTTCCAAGAGCATACTCTAAGAGTAAAGATTGATGATAAAGATAAAATGTATATTTTATAAAATGCTTTGCTGCTGTGCTCTAAAAAGATTTTTGTGTGAAATTACTTGGTTTTGTATTTTGTTAATTTACTTTGTTATTATAATTGATAAAAAGTGTTGATTTCTGTGATCACTACAATTTCAAATCTATTTTATATTTGAACATCAAAATGGTCAAAAATTATTTTTGTCACAAAAAATATTAGTCTGCATCAATAGTGTTAATATGGTTGCTTTTAATGTTACTTTTAAGAGTATTCATTTGTTACTTTCAAATTGCTACATCTTTGGGAGTAAAAATCTTTTCTGAAGTCAGAAAGAATTTTGGTATATGTCATTTGCCCTATAATTTATTAATTTCTGTTTAAAATAGATATCCCCTAATCACTGTAAGCCTGAAACTGGATTTATTCTGCAGTTATTCTAGGAGAGAAAAGATATGCATGTTGGGAAGATTGAAATAATTTTAATTAATAAAAGCATACATAAGGAAGGCTTCTGGGCTCTGCGAATAAACAAAAAGCTCAGTCTAGACAATGTATCTTCAATTACAGTTTTTTATATTCTATAAGGAAAAGGTACCTGAGTTCCACCAGCAGGATTCCGTATGTTTTTTGATTAACCCAGTTTTGGAGGTAAAGAGTGATTTCCTAAAATTCTGTTACAAAATAGGAGCATGTTCAAAGAGAATGATCTACAAGTGAGTTTCACAGTATAATAAGATAGATCATAATTATTTTACATTCAGTACATACGAACATTCCTTTTTATTAATCATGTCAACTCATTCCAATTTTCCTTTTATAAAATTTTGGGCCCACATTTTTTGGGCATTGATAAATATATGAATATATATTTTTTAAGTTTCCTATACTTTGAGGTTGCATGGTCTATTAGGTTGGCATGTCTTTATATTGTAAACAGATTTTGCACGCCACCCTTGGCAGCTATGGGATAAAGCTTTCTGATGGTATTAGCAAGATATACAAGTTGGGTAGCTTTGTGTCACACAAAAATAAGAGGCATGGAAAAGGGAAGTCTAATTAACACATCTGACTAAGGACCTATGCTTTTATCTTAAAATTTAAAAATGACAAAGGACTACTTAAATATTTGTCATTTTAAAGAAAATAATTGCATTTGTGACAAACCAATAATAGAATATATTGTATTTATGTGGAAATGTTCTAGGAAAATTTTGCTGAACACACAAGTACATTGCCTGTGTCAGGGTTTTTTAAGGGAGGGAGGAAAAAAGAATTCTGTTTTTGTTTGTAAGGGATAAGGAAGGTGCAAACCTATCCTAATTTCTGTTTATATTAAATGTCACATAAAATTGGAAATAACTTTAAGAGTTAACTCTTCAACTCAGCTGTACTACTTTTTACATTACTAGAAATTACATATAGAGATTTTGGCATTTTAAGCAGTGATATACTGTGCAAACACTGTGGATTCAAACAAAACTTTGCATCAGCACGAAGTGAGGTTTCTTCATAGGGATAGTTGAGCTTGGTTTCCTCCCAGCTTCATATTGTATTTGAGATAATTAAAAAGAATGGGCCAGGGAAAATAATTTAACACTTGTGGTGCTTTACATTGCTGGCAACCCATATGTATGGGTTGAAAAACTATTAACCCAAGAATTTATTACAAATATGTAGTATGAAAAGTTGTAACATTATTATATTCTGCTTTATGCCTAAACATGCTCAATATATCATCATTGATAGCAGCTACCAGTTTACTCTGTAATTTATACGGAGTTTCATTCTTGATTGTATGAACCCTTTAAATTAGAGTAGCATATTCTTTGTACTTAAATTTTATTATGACTTTTTTCTTAGTAGATTTGAAATTTGGGTTATTTTTCCTATGTGTCTCTCATTCCTGTTTTTTGTTATATTGTCTTTTTTTTTTTAACCAGTAGTGTTTTTCTCTAACTATACCAACATCAATCTCAACTTTAATACAAGTTCAGTATTTTGTACCACATTATGACAACTTGTTATTATTGTGGTGTAAATAAAAAGATGAAATGAATTAAAAAAATATCTGTATTGCGGTTAATAATAATTGTCTTCTCTTTTCCTTTGTTAATTCATTTGCGTATGTTTATGCTAAAATGTACTTTGAAAAACTGCCAAATTTTGAGTATGTCTTGCAAACAGATGGCCCCTTGCAGCAATTTCAATTGAAGACATTATGCAGCAGGTTCCATCTTTCTCTTCATTGTGAATATTTTTCCTGATAAAAGGATGCAAAACATAGGAAGCTGGCATTGTATAAAATCACAGTTGAAGAAGTACAGTGCAACAGTTACTTCTGGCTCACAGAAATAAAATGTCTTCAGAAAAATGTTTAGGTAGTCAAGTATCTAAGTTTAGTGAAGCTAAGTCCCTAGGAAATAATGGCTCTTGACTCAATTTGGTTGAAGTGATAGGTTCATTTACTAAGAGTTAGTGGTTAGTGGTTGCAGCAAAAGCAAGGCAAGGTCTGAATATTCCCACCCAAAGATACAAAGATTTCACCTCCTTTGTGGCTCTACCCCCTGACATCAGTATCCAATGGCATCCCAGTTTGATGTTTTGGGGACCACTTTGGATGTAGGTGTGTCTTGGAGAGGTCCTTGAGGCAGTGGAATCTGGTTGCTTAGCACTTCTGGTTCCTGTCAGTATCCTCCCTCCACGCTTAGACCCTTCTTCTCACCACTTGCATAACTTCCTCTTCCCCCCTCCCTTTGCTTATGGTAGAGGATGCCAGCAAGATTAGCAATGCATAGTGAAGATAGCAGATCTGACACCTTATGGGAAACTTGCTTTCAGGCTTTATGCCACCTGAAATCTCAGCACACATGTGCTGAACCCCCTAACATTTAACAAACAATATAGTTTTTTTCTAATTAGACTTAACAGCCTGAAAACCTGAATAGCATCATCAGTTGTTAAATGTGCATAGTGCATAGCACAACCTATTACATATGCCTTTTATATAGCAACATGTAAAAACAATGGTAACTTTATAGCAAAGATTAAAAACAATAAACCAGTAGAGAAGTTGATGAATACTATTTTTAAACTTTGCCAGATCCTGCTTTGGGTCACTTTAGAAGTAAATCTGGATGCATCCGCTGTGCAATGCATGCAGCTACAAATGAGACAGACCTCCCTCCCCGCAAAGAAATGCTACATTCCTTATTTTGTCCCCTACCTACCCATCTTCCCTCATGTTGCTGATTCAAAACAGATTAAAATCTGTTTGAAATTGTTTATGCAGAGACTCATTGTTTGTGATGGGTCTGAAATATTACTCCAAAATATTTTAATTCAAGACTAAAATATGGTGCTGGTGGGTTATTATTTTTTTAAAAGAGATTCTAAGCAAGGCATCACCTTGCTGATCAGACACTCGTAATTATGGTTTGTTAAATTTCTGTCAGACTTGTCTATGAATAATCTGTTTGCCAGCCTATGGGTCTGCAATACTGGACTGCATTTACATAACATGAAACAATAGTTCTAGTGTGATGTCCTGATCTGACTGTATTTAGGGTACTCTTTCCAGTTCTGGACATTGCATTTTAAAAGGAGCATGGAGAAGCTGGAGTTGAAATATTCCAAAAGCCACTATCTGCTTCACAAAACTACAGTGCTGCTTCCATCACTTTGCTCTCTTACCCCACTTCAGAAGTTACACAGAAATAAGTTTAAAAACAAAGCAAATAAAACAACATATCCTAGAACTACGGCTAAAGAATAGTTGGAGCAGAATCTCTGCTCCAGAAATTGTAATAATGGCCTTTGGAACAGATCTTTATCTACCCCTAAGTATTTTTACTGTTCCTCACAGACCTTTTCCTTAGCCGTATTTCATATCTTCCCATCAAGGACTCTGTCCATGCTTAACTCTGGGGGCTTGCAGTCATAAACAGCTATGTATAGCCTTTTACATTATACATTAAATATACATTAAAGCGTAAATAAATTATAACCTACTATTAAAATCTATTTACACTTGGGGATGGCAGGGGCAGAATGGGAGCATAGGATCTGTTGTTAATAGATCAACCACCTCCAATGTGCATTCCTCCACTGGCAACCAATCAACTGGCAGAGCCAGATCTTCAGGCCTTAAGAAAGGATGGGAGGGCTGGGGCGAATCTCGCATGGTGTGTGTGTGGGGGGGGGCAAGATGTTCCTGAGGGCAGGTGCAGAGAAGGCCCTTCTGAACCTCACCAGCCAGAATAATCAGATGATTATTCTGAGAGCATGTCTCCTCTGCTGGCACCAGTGGGACCAATGCCTTGAAGAGCTTTAAAGTGATCACCTTGAATTGCACCAGGAAGCAGTCCAGCAACCAATGTGCTTTGCAGAGCAGTAGTGTTACATGGGCCATTCTTGGGAACCTAATATCCTTCCTCATTAGTTGCTCCAAAGTTATTAAATCCTTGGAAATCTTTATAAAGGAGTAAATAGTTTACAACTGCAGTAAGGAAACTGAATGTAATCAAATTTGAGCACATTGCCTCATATTTGAAGGTATTAGCTAGATTCTTCTTCCGTACATTTTTGTCAATGTTCTAGATTTTGGCCTATGACCATAAATCAATAAATTCTAAACATACAATTCCTTTAATGACCTCCAAAGTCACTTCCGATATTGATAATGTGCCATTCATGCTATTGAATTCAAAGCAATTAGGGTTTAAAAAGTGAGAGACAATTTCTGAAAGCAATAAAGGATAATAAAAGGCATACTATAACAAATACTAAAGATACCAAGAATTTATTGATTTTTATTACACACTTTTTGAGCCACTGATAGAAAAAGTTATATAGTTCTTAAATACAATGAACCCTGCAGAAGTATCTTTAACAGATGCCCAGTATTTAAAATAAATCAGAAGTTATTGAGGTTTTCAAAAGTATTGAAAAAATGTTTAAGATATTTAAATTTAGTAGCTGGAACATTTGTTTCCTGCCTTTTTCTCCTGTGTGCTTTTGTGTGCTCTGTTAACATGATGTTCTTGTGATGATTTACCTCACAATGCTCCTGTTTGCTCCTGGCTATTTTGACTGATGATGTAAATATATTTATATTAAACTACAAGTTCATATCATCATCTATGATTTCATTTGAACATTTGCTACACAATTCCCTGAAAGTTTATTAGGTGAATTTTATA